CACGTGCCGCTTTGCGGCACGTGCTCATTTGCCAAATTACCGTTATTCGACAATTTTTGCCCAATATTGTATACTTAAATGTAAATATTACACGTGAGGATCTGCAAACCGAGCACAGATTCAATTATTATTATTGCGAACTTTTTAATTATTTTTGTTATTATTTTTAATACAAATCAACAGATAATTATTACAATAAAGATTTTTTTTTCGAAAAAAAGAATTGACAGAATTTTTTTTTTTTAAATACATCAGCTTACTAATAAATGTTTATATCTCAATCCCCGATCAATGATCAGGGGGATGGTTAAGAGTGAATTTGAAGTTTCTATCCATTTCGTATTGCTTAAACTTTCCAAGAGCATCTAATATGGGTTTTACGGGACAATCATCTGGTGCCCAGTGAACTACAAAATCACCTGGAACGTACATGTGTGGGAACGTATTGAAAGTATGATCATCTCTATCAAGGAAAAGTGTCTATAAAAAAATCAGTGAATAATAATTAGTCATGATCATGATAGAATAAAATAATAATAACACATGATTAAATTATAATAATAAAGTATATTAAAGACTACTATTATATTACTCAATATACAGTCAGACCTCCCTAAATGCTGCACCCCCTAAATGCTGTAGCCTCCTAAATGCATGTCCTGCGAAAAGCTCTCAAATGTATGTCTTCTTTTGGACCCAACTGATATTACACTTATAAATTTTTACCTCCCTATGTGCACGTTGGTTTTACCACAAAATCCCGAAAGACATATTCCCGAAAGGACCTAATCCCGACAAAGTTAGCTATAATGCTGGCCAATTTAGTCGGTATTATGTCCTTTCGGGAAAACGGCTTTCGGGATTTTATGGTAAAACTGTGCACGTTTGGCCAAATTTTTATAGAGAGGTCTGAATGTATTGAGGCTTGAAGTTTGACTTATGATATTAACGGCAAGTATTGAGATTGAATTTCTGGCACATTTTCTTACCTCATCTTTATAATCTGGAGTATTCATGAGATCCCACATTGCACGTTGTTCCATCTGATGCATATGATAAAGATCTCTTCGTTCCTGTATTGTCCTTAAAAATCTTCGACTCCATTCTGAATTCCTAATCATGAAAACACCTGCATTTATAGTAACGTCTTGTTGAGGTCTGGCGACCACCAAATTAATCTTTTTAAAATTATCAGCACCTCCAACCATTTCAGTAAATTTTTCGAATAACCATTCAACAGAAACAGACTGATTTGCAATAACAGTGTCCATATCCAACCAAAACACCCAATCATAGTGTGGTAAAATTTTTTCAACTGAATCAATCTTCCCCCAGACGGTACGTCGGTTCTTATAATGTGATTGTTGATCAAATTCTTCAGAGCGGCCCACAAATGAATATCCGTGTTTTTTAGCGTAATCGCGTTTATTTTCTGCTAGAATGTTTGCTACAGGAAACATACACATGTTGTCATATACGAAACTACTTGATACAACCGCTATGGATAATTTACCATCTTTACGTGAAACTGGGTAACAGGCTGTAATTTTGGGAATTGATAAATGTGCGAATACATCTCTTAATTCACTTTCTAGATACACGTGCCCTACCCCTATCGTTGTTTCTATTGGAATATTTTCAACAGCGTTCGACCATTCTATCAGTCCAATATTATCATTTATGAAAAATAAATCACTTTCATCTACATGATTTGATTCAACAAAGTAGTGATACGCCTGAGTTATAATATTAAAATTTTGTTTTTCTGTCTTTTCAGATTTGTTAATAAGTTTTCGTTTTTTTAACCCATTGTTGTTAGTGCTTTTTAAGAGATAGTCAAGATCGAGTAAAGTGGCTACAGACTCCGGACCAAGGATTATAAACATTTCATCTTTCTCTTTGGCATCGAAACGACCCCATATTAGATTAGATTTTTGTCTAGGTGTCAAGGTTTGAGTGTTGACTACAGAAGAATCCAGTATAGTCAGAAGTTTTTGAAGGTTGATCACAGAATGATCTTCCATAATTACTATATAGTCGTAAGTGATTTCTTGTTTCTCGAGTGATTGAATCTTTAATAATATTATTTCAATTATAAGATCTATTAAATTAAAATGAACAGCATACATGTACGTACCCATGTAAGAACAGTTTTATGCCAATTCAATTTTGATTGATTTGGGAACTCTTCAATATCATCAAATTCCACATATTCCGCTGTAAAATCTCTTAATATCCTTTTATCAGTTTGTTGATAAGGTTTCAATAAAAATTTGTAGTATATATCACCATTATTTTCCATACACGGTCTTAAATTATTTTTAATGCCAAACATATATTCTCTTAATAATTTTCTCGTTCGGATCTCTCTGATTTGAGAGGTTATTGCTATGAGTAATTTATAATTTCTAGGTTTGATAGAGTCGCCATTAATGGGATATATAACTGGATGATCGAGGAGCTCATCGGTGTCTGGTGGTGGATTCAAAAAGATTTCGTCGTCTTTTATTGCACCTTCTAATATTTCCTCATTAGGTCCAAGGTGCATTAAAGTCAATATCAGTAGAAGAAATATTGTTATAAATATTGTTAAGTATAAACATGGTTTTCGAATGTAATGCCTCTGGCGTTGTGCCATTCTTGTTTTTTTAAAACCACGATTTCATCTATCTAGAATATATATGGAGCAAGTTAGCAAGTTAAACATTAGCGGTTTTTAAACCCGATTGGTCGATATTTCTTATCTGTGTGTCACCTAAAAATAGATTATGAAAATCGCTGGTTTTAGCTTGATTTATATGGTGCGAACGACTTGAATTTCAGTTAGGCGATTTTATTCACTTATTGTTATCTAAAAATATTAACGGAGTAAATCGGAAATGGCTATTTAATCCAGACGCTAGTCGATTTTTGTGTTAGACTATTTAATGAATTAATTAAATCTGCTACAAGATCACTTGAACGTTTTTTGTACGTATAAATAAAATATATACTTAGATTCGTTGTGACATAATTATTTATACGTATTGAAGCATTAAGATCATTTCCGCACAAATATTATTCTATATATCGATATTTACTTAATTTATTGATCATATATTCACATATATAGTTTAATTAATAATCCGGATAGCTGAATTGGGCATAGTTGACTAAGCCAAAATAAATAAGGACCGGCTACAAATATAGGAAAAATTTGTCTGGTTAGCTCTGGTATATACTAACAAAATTTATATATTGTACGTATATATTAGATATTAAACCTATCATTTAATGAGGGGTTAGATTTAAACATTTACAATGTATAATCTATCGTGATGATGGACAATGCGTGGATAGATGAAAATATACGTCTTCAAATATCCTTTGCAATAATACACGGATAAAAGGCAGTCATGAGAGTCCTAGCCAATCAGACGCAATATGAATAGTATTAGAATAAGAAAGGTCATATTATAAAATCATTCATTGGAGTAATTGTCACGTTATATCTGATATTGTAATATCGATATGATTGATAAACTCGCATGACTGCTGTCTTTCATTTGTTGATCTTTTCTAAAAGTCCGCACGAGATTAAAATCATTGCTAATTTAAAATAACCATTATTAATGTTACACACATCATTAGGATTCACAAATTCATTTGTCACATTAATTCGAAAATAATGACAACTCTGATAAAAAGTACTTTTTTACGTATTAGTGCTAGATTTTCGGTAGATGAACTAAACGAATCTCTATAATTGCTTAGTTGAAATAGCATATGTATTGTAAAGAATTCTCATTAATCTGATGCATAAGCTAGATTCATTTCGAATATGGCGAAGGTCAATTTTTTAATATGTTCCCAAGAACATTTAAAAATTTACCTTTTTAGGAACATAATTTATTATGTTCTCATATACTGTAATACGTATAGTTAAAAATAAATATTTAATAAATATTTATTATTTAATTTTATTCATTTGTACGTACGTGATTGTAAATTTGTAAATACTGTATTAAGAAATTATTTAAAAATGTATGTTCCCAGGAAGCAAAAAGAATTTTTCAAATATTTTTCACTGGTAACAACTGCTAGACGAAAATATTGGTCGTACCATAAGATATTGATAACCGGATTATAAAATTGGTTAACAGATTACAGCTGTTCTCATAAATTTTGGGACATCTGGTAAAAAAAATTGACCGAATGATTACTTACCGATTCAGTAAGTTTGTGATTTCGGTAATGATCGAGAAATACACCAAACATACTGGACATGTATTCAAGCGAAAACTTAATATTCAATGTATTGACTTTGTAGTATCGTTTAGAATTCTGTCGCTCATATTAGTGAATCACGCCCCAAACTAAAAGTTTATCACTGCCGAACCAAAAATTTACCGAATCGGCAAACAATCATTCGGTCAATTTTTTTTACCAGATGTCCCAAAACTTATAAGTAATATTTAGGATATCCGGTTAACTTATCCGGTTAACTTAAAAGATAAAATAATACATATATGAGCGACGCCAAGGAAAATGGGACTTCAATCATATAAACCTATATAATTGAAGTCCCATTTTCCCTTGCCGTCATTCATATGTTAATTAAATCAGATATATTAGGGGGTTTCAAAGTTAAAAAAAAAAGTGACGTATTTGAAAACAAATAGGAATTTGAAAAGTCTTATTTGGGCTTCAAAATTTTGAAATCGGAA